TGGCAGGAGGTTCAACTTGGCGAGCTGTTTGAGTTAGGTGGTTCGTATTAGGTTCTGAGCAAGATTTTGCGGTTTTTTTCCCCGCCAGTGGTAGTTCTCTTCTTGTCGCGTCCAAACGAGCTCACCTGTGGGCAGCCAGCGTGGTGACTCTCGTCAGGCTGTGTACCTGAGACTGTACCAGAGATGGCCACATCTGGGTCCTTGCCCGCAGTACTGAGAGCAGCACACCCGTGTGACTGCGTGGCCCCGGTCACTGTGCAGTGCAGGATGTGTTGCTGGTCAAAAGTGCTGGGTGAGGTGGGAAAGGAACAGTAGGCATGAGTTTAGGCAGAGACAGCAGAGACGTGTGTAGCTGAGAAATGTGGTTATGGGTGGCAGTTGCAGCTAAAAACCTGATAGTGCTGTTGTTTGTTTTGCCGCTGACCTTTGGGAATTCTAACAGCTGCAAGTTAATGTTTCCTGCTACGAAGTGTACAGTGTCCTTTGAGGCAGTTTTAGTGTCTTCAGTGGTTGTATAAACATGAAGCAAAAGAACAGATTTCTTGTGCAGTGTATTACAATACAAAAAATGGCAGTTACTGAATTTCTTTATAACATGGTGCTTTCTGTGCTTTCCGGGCAGCAAGTTCAAAGGAAGAGCCTTCTGATTACTTGCAGGTGATCTTCCTCACGCAGCAAAATGTGGCTGCCTAGGCTTGTGTAACTACTGCATTCTTGCAGATCACTTGGCATGTCCATTTTTTTCAGTGGAGGACCATGTCAGAGCCATTAACTTGTTTCGTAAGGGTTTATGTCCTTAGAAAAACAACAGCTTGTACTTGTTTTCTAAGCTTTGTTGAGTAAAGGGCACCAGTTTTCCTGCTTTCAGTAACATGTCTTCTGAACAGCATATTAAGGGATGTCCATGGAAATGGGAAGCTTTGCTTTTTACCTGCTGTGGCAGAAGGAATAGTGCTGCAGAAGTGATTGCAGCTGGGTGGGCAGGTCTGCCAAGGAGAGCTCAGCTACATTGCTGTAAAGCTTGGGACTCTAGAGATCAGCGTTAGTCTCTTCCCTGGAGCTGGTTTATGTGGATGATGTGGAATTCTGCAGAGTACGTTTATATGGTGTTTAAGTTTCTGTTTGGAGAATGAATAAAGGCAGAAAACTGCACTCCCAGGCACATGTAGACCTTTGCCTTTCCTGTTATGCTGGCTGTGTGGGGTTTTATTGTTGCAGCAGTATTGCTGGAGGAGGGAGGGCCTGAGAGCACTGCAGCCAGCGAGCTGAGCTGTGACTGAACCTTCTCCCAGTGCCGTGTCTGACAGACACAGCACATGACCAGCTAGGGCTGTTACGTGGGCCTTGTCTTCCTGTGCAAGGTACAGATACGCAAACAATGAAAAAGCTAAAGCTGCATCCAAAACATATCACAGCCTACAGCTCTTGATTGTTTAACCACACTGCTAAAAGTTTCCAGACTGTGATTAGCAGCTGTTGCTGCAAAAAAGAATCTCTTGTTTTGAGTGCATCTTAAGGGGCTGTTGGTAATTGGCTTTTCAAAATGCATTTTTCTTTCTTCTTCTGCAAAACAGAATCTCCCTTACAACAGTAATAATTAACACCTGATAGTAACTTCTCCATGGCATCACTCCCTGTAAAAATAGGTGGTGTATAAGTGCTATGGCAAAAACGCAGAAGGTTGTTTGTCTGGTGGCTGTGGGAGTGCCCCGGAATGTCACCGGGGTTTTTCCTGCCTTACCAAATAAGGAGAGAAGTCCTGCTCTGCAGAAGAATCACTTGGGCCATATAAGGCTGGTTGGTAAATCCTCAGTGAGTTACTGGAGCAGGAAGTAAAAACTTGAACTTTAGTCACCCTGTGTTTTCTAAGCGCATTGTATGCTCTTATCTGATGAGGCGTCTTGACATGATAATAATTAACTTGTAGCATTATAAATTTTCCAGGGGTAATGCTTACGAGAGGTTATTTTCTTTAATCAGAAAGCTCAGATTCTTTCTGTTTAAAGCCAGAAGTCTGAAAATGCAAGTTTAGAGTACTGCTGCATGATTACAGGGCTAAATGTTTTACACTTGGATTAATGTGGATCTCTGAGGATGAAGTCTCTCCCGGTGCTACATCTTCACTGCCAGCATGTGTTAATGCTCAAAGATACATTGACTTCCCCGTGTCCGTGTGACTTTGAGTCGTTCTGGTGGGGCAGTGTTACATCAAAGGTGGTTTTACTTGTCTGGTCTGTAAGTTATTCTCTCTTGGGTCACATATGTGGTTTTACTTGTCTGGTCTGTAAGTTTTATTCTCTCTTGGGTCACATAAGGCAAAATTTTAGCAGCCTCGGTTAGAAAAGGAAAAGCACCAAACTGACAGTTTTGGTATCTATTTTTGCTGCAGGGTTGGTTCCCTCCTCAACCAGATATCATAGGAAATCCATATATCTACTTCCTCATGTATAGCAGGATCATTCTCTGTGCTAATTAAGTGTAACTGTTATTCTTGGAAGTAATTAACTTTTTCAAATAATGACCTTTCGTATATGTGTTGGCCTTAATATCATCTTGAAAGCAAGTAAGCTTAGTAATGAGGTTACCAGGAGAAGGCTGTGACAGAACTTACTCCGGAGCTCAAGCAACTGTAGGTTTGAGGGTGTCAGAAGTAAGAGCTGGTAATGAAAGAGGCAGATGAGTTCAGTGGACAGATAATGCCAGAGAGGCAAATTTAGGGGAAGTTTAAGGTTGGCACTGCAGGAGAAAAACCCAAACATATGTTTTAAGTGTTGCCTGTGGCAGGGCCCTTCGGAGGTGTCGCCTCTGCTGGTGCCTGATTTGTCAGCTCTTGTGTAGCCTGTCTGCAAACAGAACTTCTGGGGACTTGGGCCTTTCTGAAACATTGTCCTGCTCCTCTCAGCTCTCACGGCGAGTGCTGGTCTAGGTGTGTTTTTGTATGGTGCAACGAACCCTTCATACGGGGCTCAGGGGAATACTGGGACAATTCTTACCCAATATGGTGAAAGGTCATAAATAAGGGATTTGGGATAGCAGAAGGATCACGTAGTTAGTGTGTGCAGATTTGATTAAAAAAGTGGTTAGTTAATGTCTGCAAACACGGTAACTGAAAATGTTTGGGTAGCGATGCACAATTCTTCCAGTGCAGGTCTTTCTAGTACAGACTGTACAGTCCTTGATGTGCTTCACTGAAAGAAAGCATTAATCACTTTTTCCTCTGTTAAGCAATAACTTGACGATTCAACGAGGGCACACACACCTGAGTGAGTCAGGAATCACTGGAGTGGCAGGTGTGGGAGATGCTGTGTGCCTCGGTCTGAGTTCATTTCTCTTCTCCTGTGCTTAGGCTGAGAGCGATGTGGCCTCCCTGAACAGACGCATCCAGCTGGTGGAGGAGGAGCTGGATCGGGCTCAGGAGCGCTTGGCCACCGCCCTGCAGAAGCTGGAGGAGGCAGAGAAGGCTGCAGATGAGAGTGAAAGGTGGGTGGTGCCACAAGGGAATGACAAGGATCATAATTGCCAGGGTGTGGGTTAGGGAAATAAATTAAACCACTCCTGTGTCTCTGAACATATGTAATCTACTCTTTGCGTACATGGACATCAGTTACAACTTGTTTGTGGAGATGGCCAAAATATGTAGGCTTGACCTCTTTTTCAGTTGTAGAGATGAGATTTCAGTGGGTAGGCCTTTTGATGTATCATGCCACATCCTGGGAAAACTGCTTGGCCCAGCCCAGGCTTCTCTGTTTGGATGACAACTTCTCGAGGTACTCTTGTGCTGTTGGCTGATTCTGAATTTCACTGTGGGTAGAAAATCTCACCTGGAGAATAGCAAAATGCTGGAAGAGCTTTGGTTCTCCTGTTGGTAAGGTTGGTACATGAAGGTGAGAAAAGAAAGAGACTGGTCATTCCTTCAAATTTCCAGAAGTCCATGATGTCAGTTAAGAACTCAAGTTTTGTGCCTTTGAAAAACGCAGTTTGTAGGAGAGAGAAGATCTTACATCTGTGATAACAGCTCTTACTGGGACAGACTCAGGGGAGTCTGGCCCGTAAGTGTGATGCTTGTCAGTCCTGCAGGGGTTGTAACCTGCTGTTTCATGAGGAGTGTAGAAGCACAGATGTTTTCAGTCATCTTACTGGGTCTTCAGAAGCAAGACTCTTTATTTACCTTTATGTAAGATTTTTCCTTCAATTTAAAGTGCAGAGGAATAGTACAGCTGAACTGTGGGAAGAGCTAAGCAAACCACACTTTCTTTCTTCATAAGATATGTTTTGTTCCTTGAGCTTCTAAAGTGTGTGCTCAGGTCTAGATCTATGGTGTGAAGACTCACCTATCTTATGTACTTCATTCACCTTAATACAATCGTCTGAAAGTCACACCCCACTAGCAGTAGAGCTGGAGATAAACTGCCAAGCCCTGACCTTTGCATTTCCTGTTTTTCACGTGTTTCAGAGGAATGAAGGTCATTGAAAACAGAGCCCAGAAGGATGAAGAGAAGATGGAAATCCAAGAGATCCAGCTTAAAGAAGCGAAGCACATTGCTGAAGAGGCTGACCGCAAGTATGAAGAGGTCAGTTCCTGAGAGCAGCTCGTCTGTTTCCACAGCCCATTAGGCTGTGCCTGGAAATCTCTGTTTCTTTTTCCCTCCTTTGCCTTTTAAGTTCAAAAGGTCATAAACACCACTCTTGACAGCTCTGGAATGAAAAATGGGCACCCAGATACCTCAGGGAACAAGGTGGCAGGAGATCTGTGCTTAGATCTTGGCACTAAAACATTTGAGAGTATCCCCGGTGCTCTTAGGGAGAAAAGGGTTGTGGGTGAAAGAGATGTCACGAAAAATGTGAGATAGCCAAGACTCAAGTGAATAATGATGTCACAGGATCAAAACTCCCGTGTTGAGCGAACAGTGGGAAGAGCCCCAGCCCCTCTGTGGTTCTAGCAGCAGGTGAGGTGAGCTGCAGCACATCACACCCCTGACCACAACTCGCCTCTCCCTGCAGGTGGCTCGTAAGCTGGTGATCATCGAGAGCGACCTGGAGCGAGCCGAGGAGCGCGCGGAGCTGTCAGAAAGGCAAGTGCTGCACTGCCCAGCCGAGTGTGAGGGGCCCCAGGCCACGGTCACAGCATGCAGCGCTGGCAGTGCACTGTGTCAGCTCCAGGCTCTGTTCTGCTCGTTGGCTGCCGTGGCTGAGAGGGGCAGCCCGGAGTGAACGTGTGTGGTGTGTGTGTTGTCACTGCATGCTGGACTTGCACACTGATTTTGTGAATGGCTTTTGTGCGTTTCATGTGTTCACTAACAGCCAAGTCCGACAGCTGGAAGAACAGTTAAGAATAATGGATCAGACCTTGAAAGCATTAATGGCTGCAGAGGATAAGGTACTGATACTAATAAACAGTTTGTAGGTTTAACTGCTACCCAAGCCTTTCAGCTTCCATTGCTGGTTAGCTCACTCAGTAGTAACAAATCAGTCCTCGCTATGCTCTTTACTCTCTTTGCATCTTGCTTTGGTGGTTTTCTTTGGTCTCTTTTTTTGTTTATTTGTTCATTTTTGCCTTTGAAACTGATCTCCTGTGCAGCCAAAAAGAAGCTGAACTGTCTGACGTGTAAAAGCTCTGTAAATATTTGTGTAAGCCAAGGGCTGTCGATAAATTCCTGTCTGGTCGTCATCTTAATGTGCACTTGAAATGGTATTTGGCATCACAAAGAATTGCTTTCAGTCGGTGATGGATCAGCTGCTTTTGAGGCCATTCTTTTGCCCTGTAATTGTTTTCATTTTTCTCTATCTTTTCCCCCTGTTTCCTCCTGTTTCTTTTGCTTGACTGAATCTTCCATCCACCCCTTTCCTGCCTTCCCTCCGAAATAACAGCAAATGTGCTGAGCTTGAAGAGGAGTTGAAAACTGTGACCAACAACCTGAAGTCGCTGGAGGCTCAGGCTGAGAAGGTAGGCTGGAGACTTCCATGAGTGTCCTTACGGTGTCACCTGCCCCGTGGGGTTCTCTCTGTGTGCTGATTGCTTTGCAGCATTTCAGCTGCTGCCACTGCTCAGCTCACTTGTGGCTCTTACTGGAATAGCATATCTTCTGGTGCCAAATAGGTCAGTGTAATTTGGCCACGTATTCTGTTAAGTCCTCTGACAGGATTACATATCACTTACAGAATGTCCCTCGAAATGCCATTGTGTACTAACCAGATTTCTCCAAATGACACTCCTCTTTAAAACTGTAGTACTAACTCTACTCCAAGTCCCCACCATATGGCACTGGAATATAACTCAAGGGAAGTTTGGCTTCTGTAGTAATCTGTATTACCACAGTCTGGTAGGTGGAATTAATTTAGTTTTAGCCCGAGTAATTTGTTGTGTACAGATATCTATTGGAAGAGATTTTTGAATGTGGGTGTTCTGATATATTTGCAGTGCCTGGTCTAATACCAGTGATCCTCTTTGTAATTACAGTACTCACAGAAAGAAGACAAATATGAAGAGGAGATTAAAGTTCTGACTGACAAACTGAAGGAGGTAAAATTAGAGCTGTTCTTTGCAATGTATTTTCCAATGCATCTTTGATTCTTTAAATGTAAACAGTGCTTTGACAAACATATCATTTTAGAAACAGTTAAATGTCTCTCCTAAAAGTGAGTATGGATTAGCCTTGTTGTTTTCCTCCTCTCATTGTACATTTTTCCTCATCTCAATTGTTGTTCCTCTATCCATAAGTAGTGTGTGTGTGTTTTGCTAAACTAGTCTGTGTTTGTCTTGGCTGCAGGCTGAGACCCGTGCTGAATTTGCTGAGAGGTCAGTAACCAAGCTGGAGAAGAGCATTGATGACCTAGAAGGTATGGGGTTTTTTTTTCTTCTTACTATAGAAATACATATCTCTTACTCTGCTGTTGTGAGGGGGTTTGTTGTTGGTATGGGCTGTTTTTCAGTGTTTGCTAAACTAGTCTGTGTTTGTCTTGGCTGCAGGCTGAGACCCGTGCTGAATTTGCTGAGAGGTCAGTAACCAAGCTGGAGAAGAGCATTGATGACCTAGAAGGTATGGGGTTTTTTTTTCTTCTTACTATAGAAATACATATCTCTTACTCTGCTGTTGTGAGGGGGTTTGTTGTTGGTATGGGCTGTTTTTCAGTGCCCAATTCTATATCTCTTACTCTGCTGTTGTGAGGGGTTTTTTTGTTGGTATGGGCTGTTTTTCAGTACCCAATTCTACTTCCTTGACTTGTCCTTCTGACATAAATGGGTCTGCCTAAAGAGTAAAGTAGGCAAAACATTTTCCAGTTGAAATGTATTGATAACTTAAATGCTTCAGGTGAACAGTGTTTTGCTCTTGCCTGTTCCTTTTTGTCTCATGTTCTCGAGACTTCTTTCCTTTTTTTGCTTTATACTCTTCTCCTTGGAGGTATATAAATGTGTAGGGTGAATGATCAGATGATAAGTGTTAGCATCTTACTAAGAAGCTGATGCAGAGCTGTGTGATGTTTGCAGACATCAGGAATGTGGAAAGCTGCCCTAATTTATTACTGTGTTAGGTGTGGGTCAGGGCAGGCATTCTGTGACGTGGTTTGGGTAAGGCTAAAGGATTGAATGCATCATCGTCAGGACAGCTTATTTCACTTCAGAGAGTTGGCTGTAAGCTTTTGGTGTCTCTCTCTGAACTGCAGTAGAATAGTAGGATGTGCTTTTTCCCTCCAGAGAAAACAATTCAATAGGGCTTTGTAATTAGAAGTTGTATGGAGTTTACTATTAGATGCATTACACTAAGTCTGGGATTTAGGAAGCTTAATTGCTGGGCATGGCAGGCTGTGAAATAGCTAGCTTAGCTGCTGAAAATTTATGATCACTGACTCAGGAAGGAAGCAGGAAAGAAAGAGTAGTGTTTAGAAGGAACAAAAACTGCTGTAGGAAGCTGAGTTTGGGACATCACACAAACCACTGTGGTTTAGAAAACCCAAAAGTGGGAGAAAATTGTAATATCCTCCTTGACCCTCATTTTTGAATCTGTGTGCCCTCCTAGTGTGCATTAACACAAAACCCCAGGGCAGCCAAACATGGATATTTGCTTCCCTTTTGGGCATTCTTTCCTTGGTTTTCTCTGTATCAAAGGTTGCCCCACTGGCAGTGCAGGTAATGAACTCATAGCACAGAACTGTTCACTACTGAGTTTTTTTATTCTTCTCTAATTCTGTAACTTTGTTTTATTCCATCTGTCACAACACTTCTCTCTGTGCACTCTTCCCATTTCCTATGGCTTCTGGACTGTACCCCCTGGCACCACCTTCGCTGCCCTCCCTCCATCACATCCATCCCCTGCACACCTCTGTCTTCCCTGGGGAACGTTAGATGAGCTCTATGCTCAGAAACTGAAGTACAAGGCCATCAGTGAGGAGCTGGACCACGCTCTCAATGATATGACTTCCATGTAAATGTCTTCCCAGCTTGTGCCTGCTTCCCTGCCCCCGCTGGCTGCGCAGCCCCAGCCTGTGAAATTGCCTTCCTGTGTCGTGGGAGGCGCGTTCCTTTAGCCAGAATTAGGTGTACAAAATACCATGAACAGTTTCTTTACCGTGGCAGAGTGTGGGTGAGTGTTGTGCCTAGCCTGGTAAATACTCATGGTGATTTTGTAAGCTTGTGGTTCCTCTTCCATTCTGCATCTGCAGTCCTCGTGTCTTGTGGCTGCCCTTTGTTTGTAGCTGTGTTTATCCTTCCAGTTCACCTCTGTTCAGACATGATCCACCAGGCCTATCGTGTTCAGTTTACCAAAGAAAATTGCCTCTGTCCCTGTGGCATTCTGCCTGCTGTCACAGTTCTGCTCTGGCAAAGTTCCTATAAAGATGTCAAAGAAATTTAGATTTAGCTGTGTTCTCTATTAATGACAGTGGAATCTAAATTTCCTCAACTGCTCTGGAAATTTCAGCTGTTATCACTAAATTACAACTGTGGAAATTGATTTAAGATACTCTGATGTCATTCAATCCCATAAAAGTGACAGTTGAATTATAGGTTGCTTCTGCATGTTTTCTGGAAGGTAATATACCAAAAGTTAAGTTGCATGTACCAAAAACATGGTAATATCAACTTTAGTCATGAGGAGAGAAGTGGAGTGGCAGGAGAGTTGTCAGTTCTGAGTGTGCCTGGTTTGTGCAGTGTTTGGTACAAACTGCCTCTGCTTCCCTTGGCCCAGGGCTCTGCACAGAGGTCAGTGGTGCTGTGCCCACCTTCCCTGCTCGTGCCTCTCCCTTGCACGACCCTCGCAGGGTTGGCATGGCAGGGAGGGAGGAGCTCTGAGGTGCAGTGTTTGGTCCCAGCATTTATTTTTGGAGGCTAGCATGTTTTCAGCGAGGCTTCAGGTCTGCTCAGAGCTTGAAATGTATCCTGTGTGCACCCACACTTTAAATGCTTTTTCCTTGCATTATTTCGTCCCTTTATCTGTGCTGTCATTTCCTACCTCTCTCCCAGCTTTCTAGTGGAGGTCTCCTGTTTGCTTTGTATGCTTTGATTGTCATTTGTTTAAATTCCCTCCCACATACACTTTTGCTCAGTGGCTTATTTCTGTCTTCCTCCTCCGTGCACAGAGATTACAGTATTTCTTCAATTTGGGATGTTTCTAAATGGGAGACAGGCTGAGCTGTGCTGTGCTGGTACATGAGGATGTTGCTGTAGCATTCCATTCCCAGCATGGTGTGGTGTTTCTCTGGTGTGGCCATCTCAGCATGTTGAGCTCTGCTCTGCAGCTGCTGCCGTGTGGGAAGTCTTCACTGCACCTTTTTCATTTTTCTCCCTTGTCTCACTTTTTCTTTTCGTGCAGATAATTTTCTTTGCTTCACTTCTCCAAAGACATCTTCATCGGGTTGGATAAAACATCTTTCCAAGCTTTGGATGTTTCATGGGTTCATTGTCCTGTCTTCTAGCTTAGTTCACTCTTCCTCTAGCTGCTGTCTCAGAACATGCTCTGTTTGTGCTCTGCTGTACAGAAACTCCATTTTTGGTGTAAAATAAACATCCCAGCTGTATCCCTTCTGCTATCCCCTTGCCTTTGATTTATTTAAGTAACTATTTAAGTTATTAATAAAAATTGCTTTTTTGCCATTAGGGATTTAATTTTTGGTCGTTTTCATTTTTGATCTGCAAACACTTTTGCCTGTGGGATGAGAGTACTGCTCCTGGTGTCAAAACTGATGCAGATAAAATAGATGTAATAGGAATTTTTCCAGTTGTTAGGCCAAAGTCTGCAAGGACACTACTTCCTTGGGGTCACTGGGTCATGGGAGCATGGCCGAGAGAACAGTCACATCCTTGACACCAGATTTTTCACTTGGAAGTCTGATGTTTTCTCTGAGCTTGATGCTGAAGGCTTCTTGTCTCATATGAATGTGTTTGTTCGTTAACTTACATATTTGAGACAGATTTAAAGGGGTAATACCAAAAACTTTTTTTTCCCACCCAAAAGTAGTCTTGAAATGTCTCGCAAAACAATTTTGTGTCTTTCACCCCTTGGTTATTCAGCAGGGATGTTGGTGGGTAACTTTTGGAGCTCAGTTGCAGTACATTTTTTTCAGTGGCATGGCAGGATGTGGAGCTCCATGCACCCCCGAGGCTTGGGGGGCAGTGCAGGCTGCTCTGAGCTGGGAGCCTGAGCTCTGCTGTGCTGGGGGAGCCTGGCAGAGGTTTTGATGGGGCTTTCCACACGTGTGGCATTATCCTGATGAGGGAGACAGGACCCAGTTGTTCCTGCTCCGGGATCGGTGCTGTGAAACGTGCCCTGGTTTATCTGAGCTGGCTGCTGGAGTTTGGGCTAGGGAGGAAGCTGAGAGGAGTTGCTCACCACACAGGCATGTCCTGCAGACCAGCTCCCTGCACAGCCTTGCCAGTGCTGTGTCCAGTGCCTGCAGGGGAAGGGCATTTCTGTGGAAGCTCTTAGGAAGCTTGCGGAGAAGAGTCAGAAGCAGTAATTTCCTGTAGGGGAATCATCTGGGATCAAGAGGTCAGGAGTGCAGTTTGAATGTAGAGTGCTGGGGAGAATATGGGCGATTAGAAAACACAGGACAGTCAAAATCCATCACAGAACATTCTTTCACTCTGCAGAGCAACTCCCACTAGATGTGCTGTCCCAACATAGCTGTGGCTGTTCTGTCTGGACACACATTGTCCTCTCTGTTGGCTGTGCTTGAGCAGCACAGGTTGTCATGTTCTGTTTCCTTTTCACCAAATGTGTGGGTCCGTTTTAGTGCAAACGCAACTGAGCAACTTAAAGGTATCCAGATGTCAGCACATTACACCAGTAACAGAAGGGTATTTTCCTACCAAAAATAGCATTTCAGCCATCAGATTTCCTGGGAAGGTGTATGGGCTGAGCCAGACCTGGCAGCATCTCCACCCATGCTGGTTGTGATGCAGTTGCTTTCCCTCCACTGACAGATGAGGTTCCACCATACCTTAAGCAAATTAAAATGGCACTCATAAAACAAATCTTCACGATACTGCACAAAAGACTAAAGCAGGACTTGGTTCTTCTAGGAATATAGCTGCAGTTCTTCGTTCCTATTGCAATTTGTCTCGCAGCTGTTCCCCACAGCAGGATTCTTAGCCAGTTCTTCGTGTGGTATAGTAGCTGTTCCTTGGAGTAGCCATTGAATTACTAGAGTTCTAGAAACAGAGGTAAAATGTTTCTCTGTATGTTACTGAACTGTCTGTCATGTGACCAGTTTCTTTATTAACTCTTATCTAACTGTTTTCTCTGTCTAATCTGTCTTCATTCTACCTCTTTTTCTCCCCTCTAACCTGCTCACTGCCTGTACAGACCAACTCTACCAGCAACTTGAGCAAAACAGTCGCCTAACTAATGAACTAAAGCTGGCACTGAATGAGGATTAAACTTTAGTGTGACTACATTGTTAACTTGTTTAAAAACACCTTCTTACACATTTCCTTTAAGAATGAATCAGTAAATGTAGAAATAAGCAAGAAATCTAGAAATTGATTTTTTTGGGGGGGACTATGATTCTGTGGTAAATTAATGGATGAAATTCTCACTTTCTC